CACCTACTTTATCGGCAGATGGACTGGCTCACCGCGCCGTCTTGATCATCATAATCGCCATCATCAATCTGGGGGACTTGAAGCCACTTCCGATCGGTTACCGTCGAATGTGGGACGCCACACAAAAGGTAAAAGAACCTTACCCGTGACCTCCCCATGCAGAATTCACGAACGGAAGTATTCTAACCAGGTACACCCACAACAGGTGTTTGATCTCGGAAGTTTGCGTCCACACGCCAGCTTCTTCCAGAACTCTCCGCCAGGCCAGCTCCTGCAGGTATTGAGTGACGAGTTCGCAGCATCTACAGGATACGCCGGCAAAGACCACCTGCAGGTGGTCGTGACGGACGGCAGCACGTGTTCTATGCCGTTGCCGGCGGTCTACCTGGGCCTCTCGAAACCACTTGCAAAGCGCCCCGAGCCCAATCGGCGGGAATCGCATGCTTCGATCCTCGTGAGGGAAAGGATGAAGGCGGCGTACACGCATGTTGTCAATTATAATTGGCGGATGCAAAGCTGTGTGAGGAGCTTGGCTAGTGGGATGCAGATAATGATGAAATGAGTGGCGTCCTACGATGGGGAGGGGGGATTGTGTCGGAGCTCTACTGGGATTTGTTTCATTTCCATGCTGTATGAAATATCAAAGAGAAAGTTACGCAATAACCGTGCTCGTGCAACTGCTATCATGGTCCGGTAAGCTATCACTAGGCGACGGCGCAACAGCGATATCTGTGGCCATGGCTATGGAGATATAATTACATGCGAAGCCTTTCTCTGCACATAAACGGAACAGTGATATACATGGCCGTAGGGGTGCTGGCTCCAGCACTGTGATGCCCGTGCCAGAAAGTTTAATGCAAATCAGTGGACTCATGAGCCGTCACTCGTCCGACTAAAACTCAACAACAGAAAATAAATTCACATCTCGCCATCCGCTCCACCTGCCGCATCAACTCGATTCGCACCGCTCATCATAACCGCTCTTCCAAGCCCAACGCCTTCCAGGTTCCAAGTCCATCCCACTCGACCTTTCCCAGCCACCTATATCATCCAACCACCCGACCATCCAACCATCCGACCTACCTGCTTCTCAATCAGCCCATCTCAAGATGACCTTCCACCCGCGCCCGCTCATGCCCACCCCAATTACACGTAAATTTCTAGCCTCCATCTCCACCTTCACGACCCGCTTACCCCCCTCTACCTTTACCCGCAGTTCTCCACCACCACGCATCAAGGATAACCTCGCGGCTCTCGGAGCAGTGCTGATAGGGCTCACGATCGTGGCGTTCTTGATAATTATATTTAGCTGTGCGCATTACTGTATTCGACGCAGAAGGGCCAATACCGCGTCCGAGATGAGGGCGGAGAGGGTGAGTATGCAGGTGTGAATTTTGGATATCGCCCGTCTGGCTGTCTGGCTGTGGGGAGCTGGAATTGGTCGAGGGTGTGGAGCGGCGAGCCGGGAGGGATGGATCATGTATCATGGTATTTGTAAACAAATGTGGATTGTGGCAACTGACTATGTAGGTAGGAACTCGTTAGGTGGTATCGATGTTTCTGTACGTTGGGAGGAGGAGTGATTGTCGAGTACTGGGTGGAGACTTGGGATGGAGTGATACAGCTGTTTGCGTGGAGGGGATGGGCGCGGCCATCGTCTCTCACTGTTTATCACTCTTCCGCCCGGTCCAGGTACAGTGGATGATGTGGAAACGGAGGGTGTATGGGCGGATATTTCCACGATCTAGATAGGTCGTATGCAATCAATGCTTGGACAAAACCAAAAAACGGGATCTGGATGGTGAACACGAGTCAGAATCAACACCCACGAACTTGCAGATCCCCAACCCCCACTCGTAACAGAAAAACAGCACTACTCATGGCTGAGCTATGGAAAGATGTAGTGAGAGAGTACTATGGAGGCAGAAATTGGTATCTCGGTACACGTGCACGACACACCTAGGTAATGATCCTCGCCCGCCACAACTGATAGATGAGATGTCGCCTCTACATCACGGCAATCAAACACGCACACACACACACACACACACAAAGATACACACGCACACGCACACGTCTACACTCTCATCAACTATCCTATCCTCGACTAGACTCGACTCCACTATCATCTCCAGATCTCCACATCACCTTCGCTGCCCAGGGGGGCAGCAAGACTTCTACTCTCCCAGGTTCCTGAACGCGTTGCCGCCCCGCTTCTGGCGGCCCCATACCAGTACAGCCTCGTGCATTCCACCGTCCTCCTCCCCCTCCTTGACCACCACCGAGGACCAATTGGTATCGGAGCGGGCGTCCACAGCTCTTTGGGCGTCCAGGTGGGTATGAAAGTGTATGTACGCGTAAGTGCCCCTCTCGTTGCCCAGCTTGATGAGCGTAGCGCCGCCGTACAGATCCGCCATGGCCGCGTACCCCGCCTCGGAGGTCTCCTTGCTGCGCGCGACTTTGACATTACGTTGGCGGGGGTGGAATGGGGGGCGTGCGGAGCGCGTCCGTGGAGCGGGCTCGACCACGTCTGGGTTGTCAAAATGTCGAGGACGCGTCGGCACGCCGTCTTGGTTTCTGCCATTGGGGCGCTCGGAGGAGTGGCTGCGGGTACGACTGTGAGACGATTGCTTGTGGAGTAGTGTGCGCGCAGTGAAGGGTGATACGCTGCGCTGGCGGTCGTCAATACGCTGTCGGTCGTCAATGCGCGGTCGATCGTCAATGCGCTGTCGGTCGTCACCGCGCAGTCGGTCCTCGATACGCTGTCGGTTGTCAATGCGCTGTCGGTCGTCGTCTCGCCCCGAGGGTGCCCTGCTGGGAACGACGGCACGGGAGTCCACTGCGCGCTCGTCGTGTCGCTGATCCAACGGCGGGTACATGTCGTGTTGGTCGAGATATGTGTCCTGCTGCCCGGGTCCGGCATACACGTCGTGCTGCTGTCCGCCGCGGTCCCGGTCACGGTGGTCCCTGCCTCCACCGTACCGCTGCTGCTCCTCGGGCTTTCCGTGCTCACGGCGGTCGCGATCACGATCACGCTCACGATCATGATGGGTTGGCGAGCGACTACGACTGCGGCTTGCAACATGGTACTCCGAGGCGATCTGGGGCGTAGAGGAATCCGGCCGGAATCCGTCGTTTCCCCGGGATCCACGGTCACGATGAAGCTCTCTCTCCCGCCCCCTATCCCGGCCGCCATGATGCCCATCGTCCGGTCTAGCACTCCTGCCGCCTCCGCCACCGGCGCTGGCACTGCTGTCGTGAGAGGGCTTGTAACTGTCGTAACCCGCCCGTCGCGGGAACGGAGGACCTCCTCTCCGCCTTCCGCCGCCTCCTCCTCCTCCTCCAAAGCCGCCTCTGGAAGGACCTTGGAAGCCGGACATTATTAGTCGCGATGGATGGGGTGTGGGGAGGGGCGTGATTGTTGGTGTTCTTTTTTTTATGTGGGTTGTGGTGGTGGTAAGGGGAGGATTGGGAATGAAAAAGATGGTTGGGTTGAGTGGTTGGTTAGTTGGGGCGTGGTGGTGTGTGTGGCGCGTGCCAACGCGTTTGACGCTACTTTTTGCGCTGAGGTGATGGGGAAAGAGTGAGTTAGCGCCTCGGCATGTGCCGTCACTGCGACGCTAGCGTGGATAGGGGTGACATCTCACTCTGCTTAATTACGGACGTCAGATACGCGATGTCGATATGAAACCTTAAGAGAGTCGATGGAACACATGGATGGGAAAGGCGAGCGTGTGAGTAGAAGGTATGCGGTGAATTTTACTATACGGATAGGGCCCGTGTGTACACACCTACAATGGCTCGTTCTGTGTGTATGGGCCGCGGTGGATTGGACCAAGCCTGGCTAGAGGTCGCGATCATTCATCAATCTCTGGATCGCCAGACTCCGCACAGCAGCAGCCGGCAACTGCGGACGATATGGTGTTGTACTAGGAAATGTGCGCAATTTGGCCCCGGTTGTTTGTCGGGCCTCCGAGTTCTGGGTTGTGGTGCACGTCTTGCGGCGTTCGGCGGCACCAGTAGCAAGGTACCTCGTCTCGGAATCCCTTCTACCGAGTGACTAATCGTTAACTGGACGGCATCTTGGACACTGTGTATGGCTCGAGGCTCTATGAGGAAACCCTAAGCGCCACTCGGAATACTACCACCCACCACGTCCGTCTTACGTCAAGCTCCTGGTGTGAAGCTTCAATAACGATCCACTGCACCCAATACACTCCGTCGACCTCTGCAGGCCACCGAAATTCCAAGCTTGCCCTCGGTTTCTCGGTTTCTCACGTCTCGCCCCACATCTCCTCATCCCACCTTTCGTCCCATCTAATACCCCGACCAGCAATTCAGGCCCACCATGCCAACCCATCGTGGAGTCAGAGCCGAGCTTTGCGACCTGGCGACCCGGGTACCGCTGCTCGAGTATCCATGCGACGAGCCCCCTGACGGCAGCGCCCAAGCTGTTGCGTCGGTTTACGTTGAGGCGGTCTCAGAAACTTATTTCGCGATCCTGGTTTCCATTGGCGCGGACCTTTTGTACCCCCCACACCCTGCGCACCCTCCGTACCCTCCGGGCGTAAAAAGACTTATGAACCAGCTGGAGGTTACTGCACCGGCTTCCGGATTGCTGACAACCAACGCTTGCCGTACTATTCCCGTGAAGTCCAGATGACTGAAGATAGTGATGGAATCCAACTGGGGAAGGAGGATGCCGCAGCTATCGGGGTAATCGAGTTGTCGGTGTATCGCGCCTACGTTAAACCGCACGATAGGGATCGGCCGAAAGTTTACCAGGACGAGCCCCGAACCCGGCATAGGCCGGAGATCTTGCACGAGAAAAATGCAAAAGGCAAAGACATATCGGCTATGGTCTGGTACACAGCCTCGTCTCTTCGTGAGGCGTCGTACGTACGAACTGACTGAACCATAGCTTCGGTGATCCGGTTGCGCTGCCCCCAACCCATCTGCATTGGGGCATCACCAGCTTCATCGACAGCCCTAAAGGACCGCCGTATGTCCGGTTTCGCTTTTACTACATGAAGAGAAGCAGTCTTCAATTGCATGGTATCATCGCGAAGGACCAGCCGCATGTCTCCGGCCACGTCACGCCCGATGTTCATCACTGCTTCCTGAGGTATGTACACATATCCGAGCCGCATCTAACGCTCTCCAGGTTTCTCAAGAATCAGAAGCGAAGCTAGAGCCTGAGCCGAAATCGGAAATCCATTCCCAGCCCTTTTCTGCTGCTGAACTCGCGGCGAAGAGGGTTAAAAGGCTCACGCCCAGAGCGAGGGCTGACGACGAATCCTTCACTCTCGAGGGGATCCCCATTGTTGACTTGACGGAGTTGCCAGGCGATTAGTGGGCTGTCTGCTCTACTCACTTGCTGCTTGGTACTGTTGGGGGTTTCCTTTTCTTTTGTGTACTTTCATATAAGTAGCCTTAGATATTGTTTCTCTGTGGGGTTTAATCAGTCTTCACATAACTAGGAACTCCGAACTCGTGCCTTTTACCTTCGAGTACCGAGTGTAGTTATCTTGGCCACTTTTACCATGTATCTTTTCCACGAATGAGAGCAGCAAGAAATGAGAACTTGGTGAAAAGAAGCCAGTACGAATCGATGGGGAATTGGCTTTAGTCGACGGAAGTTGTCGCCAGAGAAATTACTGGGAAGGCCAGTGCCGCCAGACCACACGATGCCAGCTCAATAGACACACCCCTCCTTCTTCTGCCTCTTTAAATCCTCTGGTTGTACTCTAAATAACTGAGAGCTCGAGTAATTTCCCCGCGTAACACCTTGATCTAAATCGTGATCTTGTAACTTTCCCTCATCCTTTGTGTAACCGACGTTTCCCGCACCATACAACCCGGTCCTTGCAGTAGCGTGGCATGGGCAGGAGGACAGGGGAATGCGGACATCTTTACGCGTCGCGTCTTCTCCGAACCTCCACGTAAACACAACTCCTCGACACTCCTCCCACCACCACCCACATACCCCACACACGATACCATGTCCCGAAACGAACCCGTATCCATCCCAGACCCCGAGGAAGCCGCAGTCCAAGCCCAAAACCGCGATGTCGTCGACCCGTTAATTGTCCGTCTCCCCGATCTATGCTGGCTGGTGGCGATCACTGACGGTTGCAGAGAGCTCATATCTACTCCATTTGTACAGCGCTCGGAGGCGCGTCCGTCGAAGAGGATGGGAGGTATACACTTGGCGACGACGCGCTTGCGTGTCTGAAGGATCTACGGAGATGGCTGAAGCTTTATGATGAGAAATTGAATCGATACGATGTTTGTGCCTCCCTGCCTGGGATAGGATGAGGACGGGGTAGGGCTGATATGATGGATGATAGGTGGCCAGATGTCTGAGCGAGATGAACCTGGTGGGAGGTGATCTGTTGCCGATTATTGCCATGTGGAAGGAGGAGGATACTATGGTGAAGCCAATACATCGGTTAACGGTAGCGTGCAGTATGTCTCTCTCTGGCCGGTGGACGCTCACAGCTCCGGGAATGCTGACGGCTTCACAGTTGAATTACTCACCCCATTGACATGGCCGTTCGAGAAACAAAACGAGCAGATGACGGTCAACCACCACCGCCACATCCCGGTGCTGCAGCACGCGCAGGCCCGCTACAAGACCGCAATCCTGCAACATAGTTCCAAAAAGATCCTCAAAGACATCATCCGCGCGGCACTCCCCGCAATGGCAATGCCGTCGTACGACCGGGGCGCTCGTGACGAAGGAATCATCAAGCTGGTACTCTACACACTGCGGAACATCGCGATCATCGAGCACCCAGAGCCGGGCGAGAATGAGGCGGGAGAGGAGATCAACAGGAGTGCGACTATAACGGCGTACGCAGAGCAGAATGTGCTGGACCTCTTGCTCACGATTGCGTCCGGCATTGCGGACGACTTCAGGGCGCACGATACAGTTGTTATGGAGGTGTTGTATCATCTTATCAAGGGCTTGGATGTTGAAGCCATCTTTCGGTCAGATGGCGAGGAGTCGGAGAAGCGCGGGAACGATCTTGCGCAGCTGTTGAAGCGGGAAGATGACCTGAAGCGGGCTGCCTCGAGGTCTTCGACACGACATAACCGCTTCGGCTCGACCATCTGGATGGAGAGGACCGATGGGACACGGTCGTTCGTGTCCGGCCAGGATGCCTTGTTGACCAAGGACACCGGCCTGGAAAAGCTCGACAAGGCGAAAAAGTGGAAAAAGGCTCGGGGTGCGGATAAAGCAGGCGTCTCCCTCAAGACGGAATTCGACATGACGGTAAGCTTGACCACCGGCGCAAAGAAGCATTTCCGCCGGTTTGTTGAGGATTTCATCGATTCCGGGTTCAACCCGCTATTTGAGTCTATCCGCCGAGCTATCGACCGTGATGTCGAACGCCTCCTCGATTCGCATGTAAGGCAATACTTCTCCCTCGTGGCGTGGCTCCTTGAAGCCGAAAGGGTCAGACGACGGATCGCTGCGAAGGACCGGAAAAGAAAGGCCTCCCCGCAGAAGAGGATAGTTGGGCAGTCGTGTCGGCGGTCCTCAACCAGCAGTTCCTGATCACGCTCAACAGGAAAATGATAGAATGGTTTGAAATGAAGCAGTGGACGGCCTTGCAGGCAGGAATGAGGTGCTTTACCCAGATCCTCTATACAGTACAGGAGATGGCACTGTCGCCGATCGAGGACGACCAGGAGATTGCCGAGAATATACAGAACCGTCTATTCTACGAAGAGACGACTATGGATTTGATTTACAACATCTGCCGGTCGTATACAAAACAGCCGTTCAAGTACGTGGCTTCCATTGATCCGGTGTGGCAACAGCTGACCGTATAGATGGCTCGATGACTGCACAGAGATGGCATACGTCCACCTCAAGCTCCTCGAGAAGTACTCACAGCAGCACGAACACATGTTTGTTCGGTCACGCCGGCGCCAGTCCAAAAAAGCCAAAGAAAAGGCCGCCGCCCTCGGCGAAGCCGCCGAGCACGAAGAAGACGATTCTGAGCTGGTCGCCGCCAGCAAAAGTGCAGCTGCAGAGCGCGCCTTCGACTTCACAAAGTTCGAGGCCAAATACCTGAACCAGAACTGCATCAACACGTTTATCGCGTTTCTCACCTACTATCAGGAGCTCAATGCGACCCAGATCATGCGCGCCATCAAGATGTTTCATCGCATCTCGGAAAAGAGGAAGATGGAGGTGCTGCTGTACAGACTGGATCTGGTGAATCTGCTGCATCGCATGATGCAGGGCTCCGCGGCTCTGGACAGGAAGCATCCGGCATACAAGGAGGTCGACCAGTTCACAAAACATTTCCTGCGGAAGCTGTTCAAGAAATTGGAGGCCGAGCCGGCGATGTATGTGGAGCTCCTCTTCACGAAGCTCTCCAGTACGACGCACTACCTCCAGCACGGCTACACCAAGGAATTGCACGTCGCAAAACCGCGTGCCGCAGCGGAGCTCATGATCAAACCTGGCTCGGGGGTACAATCACACTCGGACCAGGTTGGCGTCGGAGTTGCCGCACTACTGGACGACAACAAGTCCAGCGACGTGGAGTGGCTCAAGGACGTCATCAGGAAAGCCGTAACGGAGCGCAAATCCTTCGAAGACGAATCCGCGGCGCGTCTCACGCTCGAAGCCCACGGTCCCTCATCAGAAGCCGCACCTTCCCCCACCACCGCCGGCACACCACCCGACATCCTCATTGACCCCAGAACCGACGAGCGCGCGCGGGCGCTATTCAAGGACGCAGTCCTGCGCTTCCTTCTCAAGCTCGTAGGCTGCGAACCCGTAGAACCAAACGAGACGCCAGAGACGAAATGGCTCATCCCGGCGCGCCACACCTCGCAAACCCTGGCCGAGAACCTAACACTCCTGCAGAAATTCGCCAACGACCCTCCAACGTTCGACAACACCGCCGCCGCTGACCTGCTAAAGCGCAAACTCCCCTCCACCACAGCGCGCACCCGCCGCCCCGTGCTGTCTTCCGACTCCTCAGGCTCCTCCGCCGACGAGGAGGACGAGGCCACAGGCTTATTCGAGCCCGGCGGTCCAACCAGCGTGCACGCGCCGCAGCGCAGCAAGGGCGCCAAACGCAAGCGGCGCCTGGTAGTCGAGGCGGAGGCGGCGAACGAAGAGCTCAGCGCGCTAGCCCTCGAGAAGCGCCGGAAGCGCGAGGAGGCGGAGAGACTAAAGCTGTCGAAGATCAAGAGCGACAAGTTTGTGCACGATAGTGATGACAACAGTGATGTCGAGGGTGACGAGATGTTTTATGCCCGCGAGAGGGAGATTAGAAGTCTCGGACCGCAGCCGGTGGTTAGGCCTGAGAAGCTGCCGCTGGTGAGGGGTGGTGGGAGTGATGGGGAGGAGGGGGACGGGGACGGGGAAAGGGAGGCGCCAACGAAACGGAGGAAGAAGGTGGACAAGCCGGAGAAGGAGAAGAAGAGTATCTTTAATGATGATGACTCGGACGACGAGGGGGGGAGGGAGAGGGAGAGGGAGAGGGAAAGCACCATCGAGCCGATCACGAGGAAAACTGGCGCGGTGATCATCTACTCCAGCTCCGATTCCGAAAAAGAGGATGTGGTTATGCGAGACGTTTCCGTCGTCGATGAAGCTGAAGACGCCGACAGTGAGAGCGAGGAGGATAAACCGGTAGCTGCTCGAAGGAGAAGAGCTGTCGTCGTGGATAGCGACGATGAGTAGATCGGAGTAGTGACATAGACATATACCCTGCGGCCTGGGTTTGATAGAATAATAGATAAACACTGCATAACCCGTGCACTGAAAGTCGAGATATCACATCACATCAAGCCCATGTAGTTCCCGATGTCCACGTACTACACCGTTCATTCATCCATCCATCCACCCCATAGCCATACTCTCCCATTTCCACAAAGTAGTCATCACGTACGCGCATCTCGGCCTTCTGCCTTCTGCCCATGAAATATTGATACACATGCGTTCATATCCACGTCCACGTCGACACAGTACCAGTACACAGTACATCTCACATCCTACATCACATCCTACAGACCTAAGCCACAGTCAAGTAACCGATAAAACATCTATGTAAACAAGCAAATAAGTCACTCTAGATTAGCACATCCAACGACCCGAAGCCGAAACAATCCAAGACGAAAAAACAATCCAAACCGAAACCGAAAAACGAAGCGAAGAACGAAGCGAAAGCGCAGTCGCAGTCGCAGTCGCATGCACGCCAAAACGCAGAACGAACGAACGAACGAAGTGGAGGAGGAGGAGGAGTGATAGGATAGCAGGCGAAAGCAGTTGCAGGCGAAAGCAGTCGTGAGTCAGACAGGAGCAAGCAGGCGAAACGCAGTGCAAATGAACACAACAATCAGCAGCAAAACCCCAAATCTACCACAAACGCAGTGTCAGTATTCATTATTATACCTACAACCCGCCTTCCAAAATATCTCCCCGGACAGAAAAAATAAACCCCCTCTTACCAGCTCCCAAACTTCGGCCCGAACGTTCCGCCCTCGGGTACTTCATTAAACGCACAGCCCCTCCAGTCGCAGCCCTGCGTATGCACTTTCGTACCCCACCACTGCAGATTCTCCAGCCATCCCCAGCCGGGATAGAGCAGCGCAAAGAACACGACGACCAGGCCGAAGGCCAAACTCGCGTCGAGCGCGGCACTGAGGGTCATGGTGTACTTCCCCCACCACTCTGTGCGGCGCCTACGGAGTACCCAATTGAAGACGTAGCACACAATCGCCCAAGCGGAGAAGTTGAGTCCCGTAGCGGGCGGGATCCACGACAGCGAGCCGAAGAGCACAGGCAACGAGATGGCCTTGAGGAAGGAGCGGCGCGGCTTCCCGCGCGCCCGCCAGATGAGCCAGATACTGACTGGCGCGATCGCACCGATCAGGAACGCCCAGATCAATGGCCGGTAAAGCTCTTTCGAGCCGAAGAAGCGGCCGGGTCCTACGACCCCCCACAGGATCGAGCCGTTGAAGTGCACGCGCGCGATGGGACACGTAAAGCCGTTCAGCGCCTCGGGCGTGCAGATCCCGGGGATGTTGTTGAACATCCAGTTCAGCACTCCGATCTGCGTCAGACAGCCGACTACCGTGGCGAAGAGCTGGATGTTGAACAGGAGGCGCGGCGGGATCTTCATGTAATGCCCCAGCTTTAGGTCCGCTGCGAATTTGAGCCCCTGTGTGGACGTGATGTACCCGTACATGACGAACACCATGTTGGCGACCGGGCGGCCGGGGAAGATGGTGCCGCAGATGAGCTGACACACGAGGAAGAGCGATGACTGCGTGTTGGTGATCGCCATGACGATCCCGATGGGAACGAAGAAGACGCCGCAAACGCCCAACGCCAGCAGAAGCCCGTACCACGGAAGGTGCACGGGATAATACTCGACGACGAAGATGCCGACCGCAACCATAACAACAAAGGTCGCAAGGTACCAGCTCGTGGGACACTCCTCGTACTTCTTCATCAGCCGTATGTGAACATCATCGCCATTGACCATCTCCTCCCACTCGCCGTCGCTGACAGTCGACAGACGACGGCTCCTACGCCGCCTGGCGCGCCTCCCCCCCGCCGAAGACGATGGTGTCGCGATCGGAGCATATTCGGCACCACCTGCAGGCCGTCGGGAGGGAGCCTGCATGACCTTCTTCCACTGGCGCCAGATGTCCTTCCCGTGCCAACAGGCCGTGTGTGTGACCAAAGCTGTCAGCGCGGCAAACTGCAGGCCGTACGAGAGTACATATCTGCAACGCCCCCCCCTCCTCATCAGCCGACGGCCGACGACAACGCACGATGATCAGGGGACCTACGTGATCGGCATAAACACCTTGCTGTAGTCTTTGTACGCCTCCTCGTCGAACAAGAACTGTGGCGTGAGAATGCGCGAAACGTTGTATGTCTGCGCCGTGTTGTCAAACACATCACTCGACAGTATTGGCATGTACGAACTGTAAAACACATTCGAGTAATCTGCGAAGCGGTCAGATAATTATCCTGCGACAGCAACAACAACGTGCACGGCAGCGTACACATGATTGGCGCGATGATCCACATCACGAGTATCAGCCCTCCAACCACATTTGCAGCAGCCCAGAACGGTGTCATTAGCGGCGATCCGATGTACGAAATCTGCGCCCAGTCAAAGGTCACCGGCAGCATTCCCAAGCCCGACCTGACACCAAACTGTGATCGCAGTTAGCGGGCGCATACGTTCCTGCAGGTGGGACGGCGATGTGGCATACCAAGTTCGAGATGACGACATTATCGGGAGCAAACCACGTCGCAGCGTTGAAGTAACTGAGCGCGGGCATCAGGAAGCCTGGAACGAAATACCATACGAAGCCTCCGGCGAAAACATAATTCTGTCATCACGGTTAGCGGACCTGTGGTTTCGAAACACACTTCTGCAGGCAGCTATCAAATGATCTGATAACGACGTGCAGATCACTAGAATACTGTTAGGTGCGAAAGGACTCACGAAAAACCTCCACCGCGAAACTTCCCACCCATCGGCTGGCTTATTTTCTTCGCCGTGCAATGTCGTGAACATCGCCGTGGACATCAAAGTTCCTGGCCAGATCATGCTACTTGGCCGTACCAGCCACTGCCGCGTCAACCCGGCAAACGTGTAGCCCAGAATTTGAGTCGACAACGTCAGGAGGATCTGGTAAACAACGCCAGGGTCCTGATGGTAGAAGTGCGTTTGCTCAACGATCACCTATGGGGAGAGAGGATCATCAGCCAAAAGTCATCCCTGGCGCCTGTCGAAACCACGGGCCGTCCAGACACAAGAGCCTTACGTCGGTAGCAAAGGCAAAGCCAAAGGAGACGTTGCTACTGATATATACGCAAGCGTGTTCCTTCCTATTCCACCGCCCCTGGCCCAGCCAACTTCTGAACCGACCCAGCGTCCCCGTCGGTTTGACTTCATTTTCAAGGTCATTGGGAAAGGCTTGGTCCCAGAGCTTTCCTAAAGGATGCGCGAGCAACAAGGCGATCACTGGGGTTATCGATATGGACGGGTAGCGCAGCGAAAAGAACAGGTTCGTCGACGACCCGACGAGCGTGAAGAGCAGTGACAGGGTCCACATTCTGGGCGTGTTGATCGACAGGGACTCGTCATCGGTCGCCAGGACGGATGCGCGCACTTCCGGGTAGGGTGAATTATCCTTTGGGTCATTTTCGTCTTCCTCCTCCTCTTCCTCGTTGTCCTCTTCGTCGTCAATATCCAGCACGGCTTCCGACTCACTCCCTGCTTCATTCGGGTCCATCTGATAGCCTTCTAGTCCTTCTCTTGTTTCCACACCCGTCCGTATGCCCTTCCATTTTCTGTTGCGAGTCCCACCACCACCCATCAGTCCGTCGGTAGCAGATGACAGCGGTCCCTCATCTTCCTCCGTGGTAGCACCGTGGTCCTCGTCCGAGGGGGTCTCCGAAGATGCACCGGATCCCTGGTAGCTCGTCGGAAGGGCTCCGTAGCTGCCGGTGCCTACTGCTGGCGACGAACGCAGCAGCGGAAAATGTGTCGCCTTCATGTGATTGTACCAGCCGGATAATTTGGCGCCAAAGCCCAAGCCGAAGTCGAAGCCGCTAGTATCAGTGTTTGGTCGGTGTTGTGAGTAGTGTGATTGTTTTGGCGGTGGTGGTGGTGGTCGGCGCGGTGGGCGGCGGTTGCGATCGAGCTCGTGGCCGGAGTCGTACGAGAGGTATGAAGCTGCGGCGACGGCAGCGGCGCGGCGGAGGGGGATGTCAACGGGCGGTCGCGGTCCGATAAGTAGCTGGCGGGAGAACGGGAGGGGTACGGGTCTGCGTCGTCTTCGGCGGTGGTGGGGAGAAAAGCAAGAGGGCTCCCGCGGTTAGCGCTGGCACGAGTAAGTCGCGGGGAAGGAAGCGACGACAACTCGAGTTCCGGCTCGTGGTCTAGCGGAGGAGAGTCGGTGTTGGCGTATGAGCCATGGGTGTGACTACTACTGGTGCTGCTACTGGGGTTCGGCGAGCGATCAGGTCGGTGAGACAGGGGCGGGGTGAGCCGGTGCGAGAGGCCTCGTCCTCCTCCCCCTCCTCCTCCTCCTCCCCCCTCCTCCTCCTCCTCCTCCTCCTGGAGGGATTCGGCTGCTGCTGCTGCGCCGGCCACTGCCATGCGCGGACGGTGATGCAGGTGTCGACATGTAGAGGTTCTAGCAGGGGCTTTCCGTGCGGGGGCTTAATATGGTAAGCTCCGTTTCGTCGCGATCCGCCTCGTCGATCCGGTGTGGGGCGGGTGCGGCGGGGGCCTGCCTGCTGGTTGGCGGATGATGGGCGGTGAGTGGTGAGTGGTGAGTTGGTGGTGTGGGGGGGGATGACGACCTCCGGGAATGTTTCTGGGATGGGAGGGAGGGGGGGGTGACTGGCCGGCAGAGTGTCGACGGACACGGATATTGTCCGGAGAGGATGATGATGATTCCTTTCGACAGCTGGCACGAAAGAAGGAAGTGCTATGCATACCGATGCGGATAACAAACGGGTGCGCATGATGATATGTATGATCTCTGTGAAGACTTTCTATGACGGCTGGTGAGCGAATTGGTCGGGCTCATTCATCATCGAAGCATGCTGGCGAGACACGTGTGTGGCCAGGCATCCGTCGCCGTGTGGTCTCACGCACGCACGGAACCCTGGCCGGCCACTCCGCGCCGAAAAGATAGCAGCCGGCGAAGAAAGGCTGCAGATATCAGACCATCTGATAAATTGTGTGTCATGCCAAGAGGCTTATCAATGATTATCTGATCATCCGCCGCGCACCGCATGTCGTCGTGCGGCGTGCCTTAGATGTCTGCAAGTCAACCCGCTGCGGGCTAGCTGTGTGGATTTCTGCCTTTTGGCGGGTAGTTTACCCGGCGATGAGCAATTGTGTCACGTGACGAGCAGTGATGAGCGATGATACCAGTGGTTACCACGTGAAGAGCGAAGGTGATGGCCTGGATTCTAGTGGACGACAAAAACCACATGCAAGCACCGCATCTCGGTGACACGACAATCAACTCGTTTATTAAACTCATAAACTCGTTGATGAACGGATAGAGTGGTGAATGTGGGGCTGGTAGCCAGAGATTTAAGGGGTACGTACTGTACAAACGCCCACGTATACTAGTAAGAGCATATGGTGCGTGGCAATATGCGTGGTGCCGAGTTTTGACGAGAGATGAGTGACTGAAATTCGAATGTACCAAGTAAAGGATGAATAAAGCCGCCTTACTATTACAATTTTCGATTCGCGTCCAGATTCCACCCCGACCTAGTGACTGATATAACCCTCAAATCCCATTCTAGGTATGCATACAGACATCCATACTATCCTCAACACACAAGACCAAGCAAGATGATATAGAGAAAAAGCCGCTCAAAAAAACACCAATATATGCAACTCCTCCGCACATCATCGCTATTCCGTGCCCGTCACAGTGCTTTGTACACGCTCCTCCGCCTGTTCCTCTTCCTGTTCCTGTCCCGCCAATAACCCCTCTTCTACTTGCTCCTGCCCCGCCAACAACCCCTCGCTCTCCGCCTCGACATGCGTCCCATTCCCACTCGCCGGCCCGCCAACGGCACTGATCCTTCTCACCTGCCTAACGGTATCATTACTTTTCGTGCCCCTTTCCTCCCCACGTTCCTCCCGTTCCTCGTGTTCCCCCTCAAGCAGCCCCTCCCTCTCGCCCTCCCTCCACACCTCCCCACCGCTGCCACTCGCCGGACTACCGCCGGAACTCCCAATACTAGTCTTCTGCGCCTGTCTCACGGTAGTAGTACTACTACAGCGCTCCAGCATCTTAACAGCCTCGCTGCGCCTCTCGCTCTCGCCGCTCCTCCTGCGTTCTCCCCAGCCCCCGCCAGGACCGCTTCCAAAGCTGAGATTCCTTAGTCCCAAGCCCACAGTTCCACCGGTGCCGACGCCACCCGCCGCCGCAGCTTCGGCAGAGACCTTGGAGACCTCTGTAGTCCCGCGCTCGAGCTGCTGCTTCTGCGGCGTAGGGGGCAGACCCAGGAACGCCTGCAGTGTTTCCTCCGCGTTCGCGTCCTCCTCGGAGTCGGTCGTCGACACGTCGTCGTCCGAGATGTTGAACGCGTCCGACGTCCACGAAGCAGTATCGACAGTGTCGCTGCGGCGGCGGGTCGGGGTGTCCGGGGGCGCTTTCGCGACGGTCGGGGAGGTGGCCTCGGTAAGTCCCTCGGGGGTATCTGCGCGCTCCTGGCGGCCCTCGAAGGCGTCCGGGGTGACCGCTTCGTAGCTCATGCCGAAGTGCGTTTCGACCAGGTGCTGGATTACCGGCCAGCCGTAGGCGTTGGCGAACATGCGCCGGACCACCATGTTGTTGTGCGCGTCGGGCTCGAGCCGCACAAGGACTTTGCGCCACGACATGCCTTTGTGGTAGGCACGCGCGATCTTTTCTTCCACGGGAATGTTGCTGGCCGCTGTGGATATGTTGGCGAGGCCGGTGCTGCGTTTGGAGGCGGGCAGCGGCGGGATTTCGTCCGCGTGGTAGACGCGGTCGTGGAAGATTGTTTGTGGGCGCGAGCCGGGGTCGATCAGGAATTCGGTGCTGGGGAGGGGTGGGTTGAGGACGTCGCCCGCGGCTTCCAAGATGGAGGTTTTGGGCGGCGCTTCGAGAGTGGTGGGCTCGTCGCTGGGCGAGGAGAGGGCCAAATCTGCGGATGATGATTCGGCCGAAGACACAGTGGAGTGGGTCTGGGAGCGGTGGTAGATCTTTCCTGCCGGTTTGGACTTAGTGCCAGCGTGTGGGCGAAGGAGAGTCATGAATGCACTGAACGGATTGGGCGTGGGTTTGATGCTGGGAGATGAGGGTTGGGAGGGTGGTGCAGAAATGGTGAGCTGCTGTTGCTGGCTGCGCTCCCTCGCCGAGGGCTCATTGGTGAGCGGTGCTTCAGTAACCGGATTGTTTTCTATAAGTCGCTGGGCCGCTGGCTCCTCTGCAGTGCCGTGAGCGACGATGGTAGGCGGCACCACTGTCGAAGAAGTGGCCGAGTCTCCACTCTTGCTCCAAAATGTATTCCCAAACCCACCCGGAAACCCAAATCCCGTCGGCGGCAGTGGTTTACTCGCAGAGGTTGCCGTACTGGTACTCACGAGTTGGCCCCAGCCCCACTCAACCAGGCCACCGACAGGACCATTCTCTCTCCTCGCCTTGTCAACCCTGCCGAGTCCCTTCCAATCTAGGAATAGCAAGCAACTAGTGCGGAGTGGAACGATTCCGTCGTTGACAACATTTGCGTACACCGTCCGATTACGGAACATCTTGAGAACTTCGTGCGCCGGTCCCGTGGGCAGGATTCTGAGAAGAGGCTTAGAACTTCCATCACCACCCGCAGACTTGGATGCTGTCCCATTGCCACCAAACGCCGCAAACGCGCCGGGAGCCCTCCACTTCAGGCCCAAATCTTGTCCAGTCTTTCCCACCAGCCCAAAGTCGAGTGCGAACCGAACGTAGAGCGGGTTCTCGTTGGACAATCCTAAAAATGGTGTTGCAAGCGCGACAAAATTGACCGGTTTGATCTCTTGAAAGAAGGTGGGCGAGTGTGCGTGGATGTAAGCAATCGCATACGTCTGCACCAGGCCTCCGAGGGAATGGCCGATAAATGAAATACTTGTAATCTTGTACGGTGGTACATCCCCAGCCCCGTCGTTCAGCCCTGGCAGTCCGTTATCCCTTGCTTCGGGAGTCAGATGCGGGTGATGATGCGGCTTCCTCGGTTTGTGCAACTTATTGCGGCCCGATTGCGGCAGCGGAGGATGGTTTGGACGTGCGGTGTGGAGGACGAATCTCGCGAGTCTCTTCCCGAGATACTTGATCCCTCGTTCGGTGCGACAGCTGTTGTCGTGGAACCCGCGCACAATCACCTGCTCGGCATTCTCCTCCTCGGCGGCAGACATCTTGCCCTCCTCGACGAGCTTCCTCCGCATCAGTGTCGCCTTCCTCTCCTCCTCATCGATCGACTCCTTCAAAAATAGCATATCCGCACCGGTATTACTATGCAAACCATGTGTGAGAATAACCAAATGCACATCCTTCGTCTTTCTCTTCACTTTCTGCTTTCTCCTTCTCTCCCGCGCCTCATCCTGCTCCTCTGGATCCCTCGCCATCTCCTCCCTCGTCAGCCCCTCCTGCCAACTCGGAAACGCAGGTGTCTCCCATAGCTCCTTCGTCCCCTGCAACTTCACTTGCACCGCACGAGACAACACGCCATTCTCTGCTCCCGTACCATCACTTCCCGAGCTCCCGGGCCGCGGCGTAGTATTCCCGCTGCCAAGCGGATACGCAAAGCTGAGGCACTTCTCGTCTCTCCCGAGCAGTATCTCGTAGCCGACCGTCGCCGTCGTCGAGAAGATCACCTGACTGATGACCTCGATGATCCACGTGACGCTGCGGCGTCGCTTCGGATCGCGCGAGAACGTGCGTTTCCCGTCCAGACTCATGCGCCCGCCGTGTTCGTACCCCTTCCGACAGCCGGGAGCATCTGGCGCGCCCGATTCGCGGAATATCCGCATCGAGTCCTCGATCAGCTCTGGCGGGATCGGCAGCGTCGCGTAGAACGAGGCGCCGGCTTTGAGGTGCGGATCGTAGCTGCCCTCCCCCCATCATCGTCAGCACAAGCGCCCCCTCCCCCCCTCCATCTGTTCCCGAGTGACCTACACCGGAATCCCGCCCTCCTGCTTCCCCTGGCCCCTATCGCGCTCTCCCTGCAGCTCCTCGTCGCGCTCCCTGGTGCCGGGCGTACTGCTCGTCCACGGCTCGAACTCCTGGCGCCGCACGGACACGTACAGCGTGTACGGGCCGTGCAGGTACGCGGCGCGGAACGGCAGCGGCGCGGTGTTCTTGATCCGTAGGTGCAGCGCGGCAGGCAATGGCAGCAGCCGGTCAGACGACGGCGTGTACGTTATTGTGTACCGGCGCACCTCGCCGATTCGAGTGCTGCCGGTGGTGTGCACGAGGAGCATTGTTGCGGTTGGAGCATGTGGTGTCGGGGGTGTGCGTGGTGTTGGTTTGTTGTGAACTTGTGATGATAATCCGCGAAGAGGCGGTGGTTGTGGTAGTGATAGTAGGGAGTGGTTGCGGGGCGGCTCAGAGCACTTCCGCTCTCATACCTTTCTTTCGGAGATGCTCCGCGTGCGTGCATGTGAGCTGTCCGTTTTCGAAGCAGGGATATTTACATAGCGCGTCATAGCCAAAACCTTTCAGTCAGGTCACGGGCTGTGTCCAACGAACCGCAACGAGTTTCCGTTCGAGTCAACTACAAATACAAGGTTTATGCTCTTACCCCCAGTCATATCGCCACTGAACTTTGAACATCCAGCCAGTACTCTACATATATATGACCATCCCGAAGGACGAAGGTTATTGGATAGATGGACTCGCTCGGCAGAAAGGTGACTGCATACACATTGTATTTGCACACGCCATGACTTTTGTTGGTCGAACTCAATGCACCGGGCGAAGCTGCAGGGCAAAAAAAAAAAAGCTTGTTCTAACCTCAATCTTTGGTTCTCCTCTATGTAGGTAACTAGACGAATCCCCAACGTCGCTTTCCACCCCCTCCTCCCCCTCCTCCCCCATTCCTTGATCCTAAAGTACAGTGGGCAAACGAACAGTTGCAACAACGCATTAAACATTAGAAAACATCGTCAACGACAACAACAACCGCAGACAGAGAAAGACACAACACAGCAAAGAAGATCAACACAACAGACGGACGCAAAAGCAGAGCAGACGTGAAAATCACAAGACAATCGAAAGAAAGAGGAAGTGGGATATCAACATTGAAAACACCGCTTCTTTTCCCTCCAAACCAGACAGCAAAGTGAAGAAAAGAACACGCTCGCTTTTTATATCCGCCTCAGAATCTCTTCACCGATTTGTTGTTTTTCCCAATGCACTCCCCCACCCATCCATCCATCACACGTCCCCGAGAGATCGATGACGACGAAAGAAAGGAAAAGAACAAAGCAGACAATTGAAAAAAAGAGAAGGGAATGAAATGAAACGGAAAAGAACGCCCGTACACAGCACTAGCCAAAATGCCAGAGAGAGAAAAAGGATGAAAAAACTAGTATCAATAGTGGAACATGTGCAAATGTTTACTCCTTCTTCTCCTCGACCTTGGGGGCCTCGGTGAGAGCGATGGGCGCAGGAATGGGGACCTCGGAGATGTCTTTGGGAGCCGCTGGAGCATCCTCGCGAACCTCGACCTCAGTGATTGGCTGCGTGGCGGCCTCGGCGACGACGACGACTTCGGCGGTGACGGGCTCGGTAAGGGGCAAGGGGGTGACCTCCTCCTCCTTCTTGGCAACCGGCGTCTCCTCGGCCTTAGGGGCCTCGATTTCGGCTACTGTAGCGGTCTCAGGGACAGCCACGACGGGAATCTCGGCGACCTTCGGTTCTTCCACGGTGGTCTCAGCGGGGGTGGTGACGCTCACGATTGGCGCGGCCTCCTCCTTAGGTGCCTCCTTGGGTGCCTCCTCGGTAGCCTTGACCTCCTCGACGACAGCCGGCTTAGTCTCCTGCTCATTCGCGGCGGCGGCGGCAGCGGTGGCTTCCTCGACAGCCTTAGCCTCCTTGGCCTCCTTCTCCTTGACGGCGGCCTCCTCGGCAGCCTCTCCGTCGACGTCCTTGGGGCTGTGGACCGAGTTGCTACCCGACTCCAAAGGCTCGGCGTTTCCACCGTACTGCTTAGGAATGTCCTCGCCCAACCAGGAGGCCAGCTCCTTGCTTGAACTCAACATCTCCAACTGAAGAGAAATTGCAATCAGCGATGAACTCCTCGACATATCCAATGGCAAAAAACATACCTTTGACACCGTAGCGTTGCTCAACAGCCTCTTGATGCAAGCTTGTAGACCCAGCCCATGAGGCGCGGGGAGGGACGTTCCTGCATCACGAAAGTCAGTTATATGCAAACCAATCGCATCGATCGCGGAAACGAGCACATTACACGAAAAACTTCCTCTCCAACGTTTCGGGGGGGGGGGTAGTATCTTGCGAACATCTCAATCGTCTTCTTGCTGGCCGCCTTGACCTCCGACGGAAGTCGCAAGAAAGGAAAAGAAAACGTTCATGTAGTCATGGACCTGAAGACTCATGTAAGGATCCTCGCCCTGACCGTAGTCGGGGATCGGCTCGGTGGCCTCGCCCAACTTGAGACGCGTCAAGCTCTCCTCCATGAGATTGACCCTCCACCGGATGAACTCGTCGAGTCCGCCGAAAACGTAGCCTTGATATCCTTGGTGGCACCGTAGATGTTCCAAGAGACGACCTTCTCCACACCGCTCTTGTGCTTGATGGTGTTGACGTATCCGATTCCCTTGAACTTGGTCTCGCTCCATCCCTTGCTGCTCTCTCCGTCGGCGAGAAGAGAAGAACCCCTTGCGCACACCATGGTGTCCTTCAGCTGCGGGGAAGGCCTTGGCAAACGTCGTTCGCGTTCGCGCGCAGGAACTTCTGCAGGAATCAGCGCGGCGAAGGTGGGCTGTGGGACGGGCTTCTTGTCGGCCGAGGCGACGGAACGCGGGTCTCGGCAGCGACGCCGGCTTCTGGTTGTAGGGGCAGCGGCATCCGGGCGGGGGAGGAGTGGAGGTGGTGGCAGGAGGGGTGGCGGGATGGCGCTGGGCTCAGCGGCAGGAGGAGCGATAAGGGTGAGTCCCCAGATCGAGTTGTAGCCCTCAGAAGCAGTGAGAATCTCTGGAAGCTTCTGGTGGAGCTTGATGATGGGGTGGTCAGCCTTGAGTTCCGGCCATGTTTGGGACGACATTCTGTTCGTTTGTGCGGTTATCGTGCAACTTGACTGTTGTGTTCGTGTTCGTTTGAATTCGTTGGGGAGAGAGAGTGGAGAGGGGGGGTTTGGTTATCGGTGGTAGAATATTAGGTGAAATGGTACGAGAAGAAGAGGCGAGGGGGGTTCTTCACGTATGTATTGGAGGTGTGAGAGCGAGAGTGTTGGAACGAAGTGAAGGAGTGAGGAGTGTTGGAATGAAGAGAGGGTTTGAAGGTGGAAAGGGGGAGAAGGTGGAACGGGGGATTGGAGGGAGGAGGAGCAAGGCAAACAGAGAAGGGGTTTGAGGGTCCGTTGCTGCGTTGCCCGTTGCTCGGGAGATGCACGTCTTGTCTTGTAGAAGCACGAGCAGGGGTCGTCCAGACGCAGCTCGTGCGCTCGGACCACATGTAACTTGAACCATTTACGATTCTATCATTTTATATACATTTTCCAGACCATTCCAATTTCACTTCTCGCTCGCTAAGGGAAGTGGGTAGGATAAAGCCTGTATCTAGGGGTAGAGATGGGGAGCTACTGCAGGTGAGCTTTATGTTTTAATCGAGGCAGAGAACTCAACGACGGGGAAATAGCGACAGCGGGAAGAAGAAGAGAAGAAAGAGAGAGTGCCGGATGATTCAATTCGGCGATTTATCAAGAGTGTATGGGAATGTAGATAATAAATCCTGTCTTTCTCGGTTCTCCATCGCAAGATGAAACCAACAGCAACACGAGGATTTCGAGGGGGAACGAGCAGGGAGCTTTCCCTCTAGGCCGTTGCCGCCTAGCTCGAGTAGAGTATTTGCCAGTCCTGTACATCCCGACTGGCGTTCAGGGTTTGATGACCACCAACACCCAACAGGGATGATGCAGGAAAGGGATGCCACTCCGGCAATTAGGAGTGGTGAAACACCGGATGCGACTTATGATATGTTTCTTTCACCGTGGCATCACTCGCGATCGTTTGTGATCACCAGCCTCAATGCACCATCGAGCAAGATTAGGTGCTCTACCCACGCTGCATTTCGGTTTGCGGTCGGAACGAGATCGCGGAGAGGACGCCGTGGCCATGTGGGCGTGTGGCACACGTTAAAAGGGAAAGTGCCGTGAACTAGAGTAGGTTCCGGTACAAAGAATTGTGCTATCGTTACACTCCCGGACCGAGCCGGCGACGTGGCCTTAAGTTGGCGTATGACAGGAGACCAAAAATACACGGGTGTCCATAGGTACAAACTGTAAACAGGCTCTGCTATCACACGATCTCACTCGGTAAACCGTCAAAACGACATGTGTTACACAACTGGATATATCTGCGAGGTTCGCGACGGTAGAACTTCCGTTGAAGTATTCCTGAATTGCGACCACGCACCTGCAAGTTGCTCGTTGACCGTTTACCTACCTAGATAAAATCCTTGGATGCTATCGTTTTGTGCCTTACGGCGGGTCACGGCTGTGTATGCACTGAGCCCCCAATAGTATCAGATTTATGATTACCTGCCAGCGTGTAGAGATGCTGTATGCAAGTCTATATATAGTAGCTACTCGATCTTAGCTTACTACCAAGAGCTCGACGTAGATAGGCGAGTCCTAGTTACGAGGCGGTTATATATATGGTACCGAAGCTATGATACCAGGGAAGAAGAAGAACACACGGCATCGGGACTCGGGAGCCTATTGCTGCAAAGGAATGAGTTGGTGATCCGTTTACGAGTAACTACCACAGACCCTTTCCTTCCCGCCCGTGTGTAGAGGGGTCGAGTGAAGAACCCGCTACATACCATACAGTCCGCTGCGGCCAAAAGAAGTCCATCACTTCGAGGAGTACCGTATAGCCTTCAAACCGAGTGATTATGTGTAATTACGCAGGTAGCACTGTGAAGTACCGTGTCGGAACTTGTCTGCCGCTCTCAAAAGCTGTCGCTCAAGCTTGCTCTCATAGCGACCATATGGATACCTAGCACGACGACATCTGGCTTCCGCTGACTGCTGCTCCTATCATACATACAGCTATAGAAGAGAGCTGACCTCCTTGTACGATGATGGGTTGAAAGATCGATGAAATCTTGAAGGATCCACAGCCTCGTCGAGTATCATACATCCATATGCATCTGTAATCCCCATCTCCGCAGTGGGAGAGATACGAAGAGCGTGCACTCGATTCCTATTCGATTGTTCTAGTAGCAATTTCCACGCGATGCCTTTCCCCTAAATATCATCTTCGGTGATTCGGAGGGAGGTCATAGAGAGATAGAAGGCCTAAAGAGTAACCGCAATAGACACGAGTCTATGACCTAGACAGAGGGAGTAATTACTAGTACGCTTGCTCTGTTTTTTTCGGCTCGGCACAGGAGAGAGAGGTCCGAGCAAATAGGTTAGAGCAGTCGGGTTTTGGCACGGTCGTCGACGGCCTAGATACAGTTTAGTGGCTTATGTAAGAAGTAAGTAGAGTAGTAAGCCACCCCTCCAGCCCTTAGCCCTACACCGGCCAAAACGACACCCACAACTCCGCAACCGCAGAGCCTCAGAACCGCTATAAAAAACCCCCCCCCCCCCCCCCCCCCCCCCCCCCCCCCCCCCCCCACCCCCCCCCCGCCCCCCCCCCCCCCCCCCCCCCCCCCCCCCCCCCCCCCCCCCCCCCCCCCCCCCCCCCCCCCCCCCCCCCCCCCCCCCCCCCCCCCCCCCCCCCCCCCCCCCCCCCCCCCCCCCCCCCCCCCCCCTTCGCCTCCTCCCTTTCCCCCTTTTTCCTCAGCTCTCTTTGGTACGTCCTCCTTCCCCAACCTTCATCATCACTACAATACTAACTCCATCTACAGCCTTTTGGCTTAGATCAAGTGTAGTATCTGTTCTTTTCAGTTTAATATCTGAAATCCGATTACAACATCGGTTCTAATATTAACCTCATTTTTGCAAATTGGGGCTGGCTGCCGCTGTGCTTGCGCATGTTGGTCCCCATGGTGTCGCTGGTATTGCACTGTCTCCAGTTGATGCGAATATTGAAGCAGCTTTCATTGTTCTTCTGGCCGATGCGCGAGAGGATGAAGAAAGTTGGAGGATACCGACGGTACAGGGCAGATTGAGTTGGTGTGGTGTTCTATAGATGCGTGACTGGCGTTGCGCATGTTCACAGGGACGCCGAAGCCCATGTTCTGAAGATGAACCGCCGGTTGCGGCGGTTCTTCTTGAATTCCCGTGGAGTTCGCTCCCCCACCCCAACACGACGTCTCCACACCAACCCCGTTCTTCCTGCCCACTTCCACACTTAGCTCCAGTGGCTCCACACTCCCTCTGTACCGGTAAGGTATCTGGGTCCTCGGCGTACCCGGAGCTAGGTACCTGATATACGACATTTTAGTGTTCACCAATGACCACCTCGCCAGCCAGTCGTCAATAGTCACGGCCGCAATCGTCCCCTTGGGCCCTTACTT